TTTTTACAGATTTGACCACTGGCTCAAGTTTATAATTTTTTATTCTATAAGAATTATTAAGTAGAAGTATTTTGGAGCAAAGTAGGTAAATCAGACAAGTTGAATGAATCGGTTTGTATTAGGGATGGTAATGGTCAGCTATTTTTGGCTAGCCGTTTTGTAGCCGTTGGCTTATCTCGTGATCCAGTGATCCAAATTGGATGATTTTAGCCCCATTCGAATTGTCTCATTGAGACGAATCGAATGGTGCTAAAATCATCCCATCTGGATCACTGGAACACGAGAAATAGCCAACGGCTACAAAATGACTAGCTGAAAATAGCTGACCGTTGCCATTCCTAGTTTGCATTATTATTATTATGGTTATATATATATTTTTTGTTAATGAAGCGAAATATGAAGCGAAATATAAAATGAAATATGAAGTGAAATATTAAGCGAAATATAATGCAAAGTATGAAGCGAAATATAAAGCAAAGTATGAAGTGAAATATAAAGCAAAGTATAAAGTGAAATTTAAAGAAAATATAAAGCGAAATATAAAGCAAAGTATGAAGCGAAATGTAAAGCAAAGTATGAAGCAAAGTATGAAGCGAAGTATGAAGTGAATATGAAGCGAAATAGAAGTGAAATATCGATGATATCATTTTTTGGCAATTTGAATCACTTATGACAACTATGCATTTTGATTGGTTACTTACCTACTGCGGCATAAAAAAAAAATTTGCACTCAGCAATTTTTGGAGTTTATTTTATTTGTGTCGCCTTATATTCAATATCGGTAAAATTCTTTTTTTTATAAGCATGTGACTGTCGGAAAAATTCAGGGCAAATTTGCCTGCAATTGACAGACGGTGGTTTAAGGGATACTATCTTATATCATCATGCGAAAATTTCATTGGTCTTTGAAAAAGTACTGTTGCACAAACTTATTTATCGTTATCGTTAAACGCAAAAAATCAAAACAAACCAAAAAATCATTTTACCATCATCTGCGCACTAGCAAAAGGTTTTCCTTGCGAAATTTGCTACTCTAACGCCTTTTCTAATCTAACTTAATAGTAAAACTTAATCCTTATCTAATAGAAATTTTTTAAGTTGGCAATGCTAGATCAGTTTTATCGTTATGATGCTAAAATTTTACCAAAAGCATAACTTAATATAATTGTTGGAAATCGCGAGAGTTCTCAAATATCCACATTTCCATTAAATTTTACTAGTAGCGATTTGAACAAACTAAATTTCACATAAGAAAGTGACAAGATAACGCAACATTAATCTGCCATGGCGATTCCACTTGAACGTCTACACGCTAATTGGGAAAAATTAACATTTCAAAAGTAATTTTTTATTGATATTTCCGTTTTATTATGCAAAATTCCTTTATTTTTTAATATAGGTTGTGACATGACGTATAAAGATTTGTTTTCAGCAACATAATCTAAATACATTGTACGTCTGAATGGATTTATAATCCACTTAGGTTGATTTCAAATAACAATAGGTTATTAACATAAAATTCTAAATCGTATTCGAATTGTTAAAGAATTCAAATTCAACTTACAATAAAATTAGGATGGGGTTTGTTTATAATACAGCGCACCGCAAATTAAAAGCATTTACATTTATGGTTACCAGGATGACAACTATATATTACCACAGTGCGAAATCAAATTCAAAAGCTTGAATTTGAAGATATCTTGATAACTACATAATCAAATTCAATGAAAGTTTTTTTTTATTTGAATGATACAAATCTTTAGAATTCAAATAAAAAATTCTATTGAATTTAACTAAATGGTTATCAAGAAATCTTCAATCAAATTTTAGATTTGAAGTTCACATATTTGATCAAGTCAAGCTTTTAAATTTGATTTTGAAGAACATTAATATTCATTCATATTTTTCATTTATATTTACAAAAAAAAAAACCGTAAGGTTAAATCGTTTTATGCAAATAATACGATCAAATATTGAATAGATCCAATTTTTTTAAAATCTACATCCAATAATTATTTGTGAATTGGTTCTTCGCTTTAATTTAGGTCGTATATAGCCTTTTTTTAAATGTGAATATTTAAAAGTCTTTAGGCACTTTTTTACCGACTATTTTCGCGAAAGTTTAATACATTACTTCATAAATGAATAATTTGTGTTGGTTGTTTTATTTTTCTTGCTTTAGAAGTTTTCTATTAAGCTTTGAAAACATGATTTGATATCATTTGAAATAAATTTTTTTAATTCATATACAATTCGTTTAAGTTAATAATCGTTGATACGGCAATTGAAATTGCAAATGTTTGTCTTATTCGTATTTATTTTGGATTAAATATTTTCCCTTTTTTAATAAAAAAAAATAATTCGAAGAATTATAAGGTCGGAAAATCATGTGATTTCGCCCTCAATTTCTTCTGGATGCTTACAAGAAGTATCAGATACTCCCATTAGGTAAGTGCAAAAGCTAATTTTACTATTAACAATATATGTAAATAGAATATCCACTTTATATTTAGAACTAAAAATTTGTGAAGTAATATCGTAGGACTATGAACTTTATTTTAAGCCGGTCAAACTTAGATATCACTAAATAAGCATCATTAGCTCATATGTTGTATAGCTCATAACGAAGAATAATTTATCAGTTAATTTTCGATATATTGGGTAAGAGGTTGAAAGATGCATGATTTTTTATTTAAATGTCATGTATAGATTACTTCAACTATATTATATATCATTTAATTCTCATTTGTCAAATTTTGCTTTCTCTTCCTCCATTAGGTATAACAACAACTTTACCATAAGTCTCTCTATTCGCAATAGCTTTTAATCCGTGTTTAACGTTATGTAATCCATAGTAAACATTTTTATAAATGACAGGTTTCAATTTCTTTTCTGCAAATAACTTAAATAATCCATTCCAAACTTCTATAACACGTTCAGGATCATGAGTTCTATATGATCCATAAAACACACCAATAATTGAGGCATTTTTAACCAAAACCAAGTTGGTAGGCACCTTTTCAAGAATTTCACCAGCGAATCCAATTACGAGTATACGACCACTCCATGCTATTTAATGAATAAAAGTGGGAATGTGTAAACGTTAGAACAAAAAAAAAAAAAAGGATATTATAAAAAAACAATTAGGTAAATGATAGGATGTGAACCTAAATAAGTTTTTAAATTATTTAAGTACCTATAAATTTAAGAGATGCTTGAACTAATCCAACGGGGTCATAAACAACGTCTACGCCATGTCCACCCGTAATGTTTAATACTTGTTTTTGCCAGTCTTTATCTTTATAATTAACACCAAAATCTGCACCATAATTTTTAGCAATAGCTAATTTGTCTTTTGAACCACTAGTAGCAATCACTTTGGCACCGAGCGCCTTATTATATGAGTGATTGTATAAAAATTTTTTTTAGAAAATGGCAGAGATTATGATCAAACAGACTTAGCATAATTTACCTTGGCAATTTGAACTGCAGCTATACCAACACCTCCTGCTGCAGCATGAACAAGACACCATTCATCTATTAAATAAAAGCACAAATTAAATAATTTCCATTTTATTACCAGATTTTAACGAAAAAAACTATAAACTCTACCTTTTTGTAAATTTGCACTAACTACTAATGCAGTGTAACTTGTAGGACAGGTAATAAATAATCCTGAAGCTTCTTCAAAGCTCATACCGTTAGGTATCAAAAGAACATTTTCAATATTTGTAGCAACGCGTTCAGCAAAACTTCCATGACCAAACCCAAAAACTTTATCACCAGGTTTAAATTTATTATTGACTGTAGGATGAACAGCAATAACTACACCTGCAAACTAAAATTTGAAGTATGAATGCATAATTAAAATATATTTGATAATGATAGTAAATGATATTAAAGGAGGAAATCGACTAAATTCCAATATATAATAATAATAATAGAACTTACTTCAGAACCGAGTATGAAAGGAAGTGTAGCCTTATGTTGATATCTTCCTTGACTCTATATAGTCAATTACAAAGCGGAATGACTAATCAGTAAAACTTTTCTAGACAGAGCTTATTTGAATCGCCATCCTAATCTAGAGAGGCTTTGAAACCACAGTTTTCTGATTTTTCACTTTACACAATATTCTGACTTTTATGCCGTGTGAAAAAGGTCAAAAATAATGTCATTAAATAAATAGATCCTTAAAGTGAAAAATCTGAAAGATTTCCTATTTGCGTATTCATTAAATCGAAATAATAAAATAATAATTCAATAAAACATTGGTTACTTGTAAAATATCAAAATAATTAAGGGCGGCCGCTTTAATCTCAACCAAAACTTGATTTTCTTTCAACTCAGGCTCGGGTGCATTTAAGTCCACTTCGAGCTCATCGATAGTTTTTAGTAATTTGCTTATTACGACGGCTTTCATTTTGTTGCTTTTCTTGTAGACAATCAAAATTTGACGATCGTGAGATGATTTATCGTTATCATTAATAACGTAAGTACGTAATCATATACGTATGTATGTAACTGCACGTTAAAATCAAGAGTGGATACGCAGAAAAATGTTTTTTTCCATTTTTGTTTCTTGATCATTTGTATCATCAATATATAACGATAATTCATGTATTACGAGTGTAAATCAGTCACTTGTATTACGTATAGTACGGATGTCGCACAACTTCCCCGACGGTCATTTCCCCGTCATCTAACCTCATACAATGCGATGTCGGTTAAATGGCCTGTCAGGGAAATGACCGAGAAATTGATACATTACGGCGCATTTGCGAAATTAATCGCCAAATCCAAGTATTTGGAGATTATATATTAATCAATCAATGTTAACGTTAAACCCGAAAAAATTTTTTGAACCCCTGATCTGTACTGATAACGCGTCTAACCCATCTTTTCCACGAGCTAACCCATTTTCCCACACTCATTAGACATAGGAATTTATTAAATGACGCATGATGACTTGATTATCTCAGTTAAAATTTATATTTACACAAAATTTAAATCCGGATATAAATTTATAGCTGTTCTCATAAATTCTGGGACAACTGATAAAAATTGTTTTGGCCGAATTCGAAAAGTTTTTGAACATTAGCAGTCAAATCTTTCAAATTTTGAGGCAGTTCGCAAATGCGCCGTAATGATGTTGCTTTAAGTACTGTAAC